CATTATTAATAACTTGTACACCTCTTCTTCAGGCCCTTATCACACCCATTAGCTTTCTTCATCTTCTCTTATTTTTATGCCTTTTTTCCTTATCCTTTGGATTTGGCTTTTACCAAGTATCTCTCAGTCTTCCTATATTAACTGCTGGGCCTCCTTCCTTTGGGTGGCCCGTTTCCCCTGATGCTTGCCCCCCCCCCCCCCCTTTTCCCCCCCCCCCCCCCCCCCCCACTGCTTCTCTGTGGCCTCTCTCCTGGGCCTCCTGACCCGGCTGGCTCTCAGCCATCCCTCTCATGAGTTTTGTAGAAGATGCTTTGAGCACCAAGAGTCTTTCGTTGGGGAAGGGTATTCATTTTGCTGGTAGGAAGTGTTTTCGAGAAGCAACTAAAACACAGACCGACCACCCAAATAAATGACTACAAAACACTCCACGGCAGGAGATGACGTGACTTTGCCAACCCAAGCTTAAATATAATCTGTAGAAAGGATGGGAAACATTCCTGCTTGGTAATTGCTCATGACCAGATGTCTAGGGAAGGTCAGCAAGCTGGACCAGGATTCTTCTCAGAGCATAAATTCCCAGTGTAGCCAAGAAAGGGATACTGCTTAGTCACTGCTACCAGGGTGAGCCCGTTGTATGCAGGCCTATGCAAGGACTGCTTTGCTAGACCAGAACTGAGGTTAAAAAACTAGAGGGGAAGCCAGGACCTTTGCGCTTTAGTTCTGGACAAATATACAAGTGCCCTGTGCCTTCTTCCAGCTACCACCAGGGGAAATATTTGTCCAGCTGTCTCTGCCAGCAAGGTACTGATTATTTACATGCAGAATGAAAATTCTACCAGTGACCTAAAAAGAAAAAAAAAAGACGAAGAAGAAGAAAGAAAGAAGGAAACCAATCTAAATTTGTATTATTCCATGCTTGAGAATGACTCACAATATTTTATTTTTTATATTTGTTTTCCATTTTACTTCTAATAAAAGGCACACGGCTTCGCTGGTGGCACAGTGGTTAAGAATCTGCCTGCTAATGCAGGGGACACGGGTTCCATCCCTGGTCCAGTATGATCCCACATGATGCAGAGAAACTAAGCCCATGGCATGCTCCACAACTACTGAGCCTGCGCTCTAGAACCCGCGAGCCACAACTACTGAGCCCACGTGCCACGACTACTGAAGCCCGCGTGCCTCGAGCCCGTGCTCCGCAACAAGAGAAGCCACCGCAATGAGAAGCCCGTGCATCGCAACGAAGAGTAGCCCCCGCTCACGGCAACTAGAGAAAGCCCGCGCGCAGAAACGAAGACCCAGCACAGCCAAAAATAAATAAATAAAATAAATTTTTTAAAAAGGCATAAATCCTTTTTCAAAAAGTGTCTTAAATCCTTTTTCAAAAACTGTCACTGGACAAGTATTAATATAAAAAGCATCTCAGAGAGCTTAGGAGAAATTGAAACCTTAAATTTTATAAACTTATCTGTTAATTTATCCTCTGAAAGAGAAAAATCTTGTTTTTATCCGGGTGGTTCTTTTTCAATATGTATTCTTTTTTTTTTTAGTGAATTATATAGCCCTTACTCTTAGCTTATTCACTTTGGGAAAATATGTTCCAGGCCTGTCAGCTCTTGAGAAGGTTGCAGACTTCATTCTTATATCCAACGGTCATTTCATTGTCATGTTGTGATGTATTAATTCACCAGGTTTTTACAAAGCACAGGTAGGTAGATACTAGTATGGCAGGTGCAAGGGCTGCCATCATGGTTCCCAGTCACTTGTAGAATAAAGCTCATGGAAGCCACAATCTGAAGATAAAATACTAACGCTATTAATCCTATGGATTATTCAAATCTAAACACAGATTAAGATATTATGTTTTTATTTAAAATAAAATCCATGAGGGAATAGCTTCTCAGGTTCTACTTGCTTATGTTTTCTTTTTCTTTTCTTCCCCCTGCTGTCCTCTTCAGATTCCACAGATCCTTATTATTTGGCTTCTCTTGTTATTAAAAATTGCTCAAGTTCAGATGCTCTGGTTCTTGATTCTCTTTTATTTTTAAGTATCTCACCAAAACCAAAACTCTTATCAATACTTCTTACTGTGTATTGCATACAAATATTTATTCATTGTGTTCTGAATAAAAAGGTTTCTTTTTTTTAATAACCTTTTCCCGGAGCCTGTTGCTTAATAATAATTGTTATTCTGTCAACAAACTTGTGTTTATATGATTTAAGATAAATACACCCCCAACCAATTGCCCCATTAGAAGTGTTATGTGGGCCACACAGGAATGAGTAAGTAAGTAAGTAGAGGGGGTATAGACCACACACATGGGATAAGGATACAGCTAACTCCCTGACACCCCTGAAAAGCTAGGAATTGGAAACCAGGATGTCCGCCGAGGTGCAGAAGAATTCTTCTTCCTGAGGTTCCCAAAAAAGAAACCATTTCTCTGGGACGTTGTCACACCTGATTTCAATGCCACATCTTTTATTCTCTAACACTGCAGTAATCCAACTAAAGCAGTATCCCCACCTTCAGAAGATCACCCTTCTGGGATGACCTGAGGTTCAGGGCTCTCCCTGAGGACTGGGGCATCTGTACATATTTACCCCTCCTTACATAAAAACAATATGCGTTTCTAATGAATTCTCTAGAAAGTGAATGCTTCCCCTGAGATAACGGAGGACGCTGGGATTCAGATCAGTCAACCCAACACAGATGGCGGACTGAGGAGGTGGGTAGGAGGGGAGGGGGGGGAAGGACAGCATCTCTCAGTGCAGGCTCTCCGGGGTCATCTCTGCCACCCCAAGGCCCTTCATCAGCCAAGCCTCCTTTCCATACCACTCATCCTCACCTCTTCCTCCTTCACCCCAAACCTACTCATCACTGCCCGAGGGCCTCTGTCCTCGTTTAGCACAGCATCAGGGATGGAAATCTTACTTCAGGTGACATAAAAGGCACCAAATTTCCACCCTCCACCTGTAACTCTTAGCTACCACCCACCCCCCAAACACACACACACGATGTGACTCTGAGAAACAGGCTTTCCCAATTCCCCTCTCTGTTTACTGACTTTTTGTTGGTTCAGCTCCAGGGGGAGAACATCCTAGTATTGTAGGTACAGAGAAAAGACATAGGATGCTCTTAGAAATCAGAATTCTGTCCTACAAGAATGCCTAGGGGCATATGGAATCCCTAAACTGCTAGAGAAAGTCCCCTTTGTTAAAGGGACTCAGGGAGTGAGAAAGGGACAAAGAATTATTTTCCCCTTTCTGAGCCGCAAGTATGTCCAGTAGAAAGATGTGATTTTGCCTCAAATTGACATCGGCCTAAAGTTTAACCCAATGGTCAGAAATCCCGAAGAAATAACACCAAATCATCTCATTGCATGCAAAAGGATTTTTCCCTCTGAGGTCCAACATTTTATTTTTATTTTTTATTTTTTTTTGGTGGTATGCGGGCCTCTCACTGCTGTGGCCTCTCCCGTTGAGGAGCACAGGCTCTGGACGCACAGGCTCAGCGGCCATGGCTCACGGGCCCAGCCGCTCCGCGGCATGTGGGATCTTCCCGGACCGGGGCACAAACCCATGTCCCCTGCATCGGCAGGCAGACTCTCAAGCACTGCGCCACCAGGGAAGCCCCAACATTTTCTTATTTTCACAAATAATTGGGTTTGGGGCAGGACAGAGCCACTCAACTTGACAGAAGGACTTGACTAAAATGGTTGAGAATCCATTAAATTTTATTTAGAATCATCTAAAGGGTTGCATGGTTAGTTAATTTTTTTATTGGAAGGCTTATCAGTAGCATACTGCAATGTTTGGCAAAAGACACACATTTGTGGCGGTTTATCCACTATATGATAGCGGCTTTTTCTGGTTATGCAGATGGAGGCATTTATGAGAAATCAGCAAAATGGTCTACTTTTTAAATAAACAAGCGTTTCCCTAATTAAATTTTCATGAATTAATTCTAAGATGCTGAAAAACAGCCCCAGTGAACCTAATCTATACATGCATAAACAGAGCTTATTTTGACCATGGGTCAGAAGACAGTGGGTCTAGTACTAGTGGTACCAGAAACACACCGTGTGGCCTTGACCACATCAAGAAGGCCCCTCCCGGCTTCTGGACTGGGAAGGGTGATATCTGAGCCGACTCTAATATTCTGTGATTCAGTCACTAGAAAGGGACTCATTTGCAGAATACTGTCAGTGTGTGTCCCTAGAGCAGAGCCCTGCTCACATTCGGATCCCCCTTCCATTTCTCCTCACGTTTACAAAGGGAATGTCCTCCAAAAGATTCAGAAAAGAAATCCAGTGCCAGCAGCCAATTCCCTAAATCTGCTTCCGGTGCCAGGATCCCATCCTCTGGAGGTGCGCCCCATGGGGCTCTGAGGGGGGATATGCACCATCCGTCTCCCCAGGGTCACAGCTACAGGGGCCTCCAGTGCAAGGATGGCACTGCCAGCATGGCCTGGGGCTTGAGTAGAAAACGGGGGGCCTCACCCATGCTTCCCTGGGACAAAGGTTCTTTGGTACCAAATGGGGTTCAAAGAAGGGGACACACCAGTGTTCTCTACCCACAAGCCTAACCATTCCCACCAGTTACTGGCTGGGTGCCAATGAGCAAAGAAATTAATTTCTCCATGGCTTAGTTTCCCCACCAATAAAACGGGAGTAATAACTACCTTCCAGGGCTGTTGTGAGGATTAGTGCCCATGAATGAAATCTTTAGAGCCTGGCACAGAGTAAATGCGAATGCTGGTGGTTATTATTACTACCTGTCTCCCCAGAATAGCTCAGCAATCTGAAAAAAAAAAAAACCACCTTGGTGTGGATTTTAAATCTTCCTTCAAGAGTTGCCAAGGGACACGTTCCAATCTGTTTCTACAGGCAAAGCAAGTGGCCCAAGCACAAAACCAGGCGACAAGCACCCAGAAAGAACCAGGTCCTGGGGTGACCAAAGTTCAGTGGTGCCGAGTGAGGGACTTAATTCTGGGATCCTACCTCAGTTATCCAGGGAATTCGGAGGAGGCCAACGCTCTATCCCCCTCGACGCCTGGCCTGGGAGGGTGTGGAATTTGCGCTCAGCAGGTGCACCCCAGCCTGTTCCGAGGGCATCCCCTGTCCGCTGCCTGGGACTCTGGAGCTTGCTGTAGGGAGACAGGGAGCTCGCGGCTGCAGGGGGGGCCCGGATGGGAGTGACCGAACTCAGGATTCCTCCGGAGCCCTGGCCAGTCGACGTCTCTTCCGGAAGGGTCTGGCCAGGGCGTAGGGCCCAGAAAAGGGGACTGCGCTGAGCTCTGCTTTCTCCCAGCTCGGGTCCGGAGAGCAGAAGATGTCCGCAGGGCAACCGCAGAGCCGGTGGTGCCCCTCAAAGCCTGCACGTGGCAGAGCTGCACAGGAAGGACTAGAGGGATTTACGGGGCTCCTGACCTACGCAACCTCCAAATTCGCCTCCTATGGAGACAGGAGGAACCAGCCGGGAATTGGATTCTCAGCCCAAGGCGCCACTTTGAGAGGGGCGTGCACCTCCTCAGAGAGAGAAAGGTTAAATGAGATGCTTCCAGGCCTTTGACAGCCCGGGGTGTTCCCCGCCAGCATCAGTGGATCCCAGGGACTGCCCTTGCCTCGCCACAGCAGTCTAGGCCCCCTTCTAGATTGCTGGGGTGCAAAGGAGGAAAGCGCCTCGCCTTTCCGCATCCGCCAAAGCGTCTGCAACAACCAGAGGATCTACCTGGGGGGGCGGAGAGCTGGGCAGACGCACCTCTGCCTGGGGCCCCGGGTCTGGGAGCCAGGCCTCCCCTCACCCGATGCCCACACTCCTTAGCCCAGCGCCCTGCGTTTCGCCGCACGCCCTCCAGTGCCGCGCTACCGAGCCTCCCGGGCGTCTGGGGCTCCCTGGGTCCCTCGCTCCGCCCAGGTGCGAGGTGGGGAGGGGCGGGAGAGGGGGGCGGGGGCTCCCACTGCAGCCTCCGCCCCCTGCGCTGTCCTCCAACCAGTTGGGACCGAGGTCTACTCGCCAGGCGCTGAGACTCTCCCCAACCCACCACCCAAGACTGCCGCCGGAGTACCGGAATCCCCTTCCCACCCTGCGGCCGTGGAAACATCCCTAACTCCCCGGCGCGGGGCAGGGAGGGTGGGCGTGGGAAGTGGAAGGGTGTGGAAGCCGGTGTCGGAGAAAGGAGGGGACACGGGAGTCCTCTTCGAGCAGGGAAAAGCTCCCCTGGTCCCTGATCTGATCACTCAGTCACCGCCCAAGATGCCAACGTACACAGAATCGGGAGGTCTGTTTCTCCCGGGGAGAAAGGTCGCCCCATCCCAGGCACCCAGAAGCCTGCCTTCCCAAGGCCGCCGGGGCCCGGCATTCCAGGGCTCGGGTCTGCCCCTCTGCGTTTCTCAGGTATCAACCCCTCCGCCATCTGTCTGTACGCACCCGTCCCCCCCCCCACAGGCTCAAATTCCTTTTCCTCCACGTCTGAAGGCGGCCCGGAGCCGGCCCCTCGCCCCCTTTGGCAGAGTCTTTTGGTCCCACCCTCAACCAGATCCGTACCCATCCTCAGCTTCCTCCCCCCGCCTCACCAGCACCCTGTTCCTCCCCTAACCACTTACTTCACCCACCCGCAGCTGCACTTGCCTTCCCACGGCGCACAGCCTCGAGCCACTCCAGGGGGTTCATTCCCGAGCTGGAGGTGGCAAAAGGAAGAGCGGGCCGACTCCCGCCGCGCCGGACGGAGCCCCAGGGGCGGGGGCAGCCTTCCCCCACGTCCCACCTATACTACCTCTCCATCTCCGCTCCCACTCAACCCCTACGGGCAGGATCAGCCCCGCCGGGTCCCAAACCCTCGCCTCTCTAGCGGGAGCTGCAGGGAGCGAAAAGTCGGCTGGCAAGAACGCACGGAGAAACAGGCAGATGCCTAGGGCGAGGGGAGGTTCGGGGTGGGGTGGGGAGAGGAGTGGGGGAAGGGCGCAAGCGAGAACTGGACACGCAACTTGCACCGCACTGGCTGAGCAGCACGCAGGGAGGGGGCACAAAAGTTTGCAGACTGTTGCACTGCAGCCAGCGGCACGCGAGCAAAGAGGGTAGACCACCCACCCCCGCCCCCAACTCGCCAAGAGGGAATCTCTCCAAGGATCTGCGCCAGGGAACCGGGAGGGGGCGGGGGTTGGACAAGGCTCAGAAATGGGGTGATAGTTGTCCTCTACCGGTGCCGGGAGGGATGGCCTAGGCGCCCGGGCCGAGGGGACGATGCCGCGCTTTGCGAAAAGCAACAGGCGTTTGCACCTTACCTTGCGCCGGTCCGCGGCCGGGGTGGCTGCTCCATCCTCGCAGCGCGGGGAGCACTGCCAGACCCGTAGCAGCCGCCGTCCCCACCCGACTGCCAGCGGGGCTGCCGGCCTCGGACCCGGCCGGCCGGGTGGGCTGGTTCTCCCGCGGCGGCTGCGGCGTTGGTGCGCGGGACGCGGGCGGTGCGTGGCTGGGCCGCTGTCCTCCGGCGCCTCCGCCGAGAGAGGGTGCGGCCCCGGGCGGCCGCGCCGCGAGGCACCGCTGGGCTCTCGCCGCTGCGGCGGCCGCTGCAGACCCTGCTCCGGGCCCGGAGCCTCGCCGGAGGAGGAGACAAAGCCGGGAGGGGGCGAAGCGCCGCTCGCCCAGAAACGCTCGGCTCAGTCGCTAGAGGGGAATCGCCTCCAGACCCGGGCCGGGGAGGAGGGAGGAGGGGACTGCAAAAGCTGCAGGGGACGAACGTGACCGCTGGAGCCAGCCTCGGCGGCGCGGGCGCCGCTCTCCCGCCTCCCGGGCGGTGGTCCGGGATGTAGAGAGAGAGGGCGGGGGCTGGGCGATTGCTGCGGGGGGAGGGAGCTGAGGTGGGAGTGTTCGCTCGGCCCGCCGCCTTCGCCGCCCTCCCTCCCTCCCCCGGCCCCCCCGCCCCCCGGCAGAGCTCCACTCTCAGGGTACTCCGGGCCGATGCTTTCTCCTGCTTTTCTAACTCTGGAGATCGGAGATGAGCCGAGCTGGCAGAGGATGCATAACGTGCTGATAGGGGAATGGTCCTCTAACAGGGAAAAAGGCTGATGCATGAAATCCTTTGGACAAACCATTGCTTACCGGGTGCTAAGTATTGCACTAGGCGATTTTGCGGTAGGGTGAATAAAGTGGGATACCCCCGCCCCAAAGACTACAAGATCAGACCCCGGAATGGTCCCCTGCAGCTCCTGAAGCCCAAAGTTTTGGGACTGAGTCCTGGACCCTGAGCCCTACCCCCAATCAATCCAGTTTCCCAAAGCAGAGGAGGTGTGAGAAATTTCAATTTTTCCTTCCTCTTCCAGGATGACTTTGAACGTGCAGCCGAAATGGAGTCTGTATGTCCCCGAAGAAAGTGTGTGTAAGATTAAAGCAAATTACTGGTTTTCATAATGTTATTGTTTCATGACTTCAATTCTTTATCAGATCTACACCAAAAGAAGAAGAAGAAAAAAAAAGAGGTCCATAGGACCCGGCCTTGCCACGGTCTACAGATACAACCTTCTTTTCCACCCCTATCCTCATCCCCTCACCAGGTAGAATTAATCTTTCCTCCTCTTTGCTGTCACAGTTGTATTTGCCAATCATTCGCAGAATTTACATATTTATAGATTTTTTTATAGATTTCTATTGCTTCACTGACCTGTATTATTATTTTTTTTTCCACTGCAACATCCAGCAATGTTTTGTATCTAATGGGTAACGTACTCAAGGAAAGCTTAACCAGCGGAAGGTCACTTTCTCCTTCAAACACAGCTAAATCCCAGTGTCTCTAAAGGGACTCAGCGATGAAATTTTTCAGTTTGGGTGGAAGAGAAGACACAAAAAGTTAAACTCACAGCCCCTATGACCTAGAAATGTAACACTCTTTAATTCATTTTTGTTTCTAAACAATCTTCTTCTCCCACTGACCACCCTACCTCTGTTTGTGGAATCTCCAAAGGCAAAGAAAACCGAGCTGTTGCACAACTGCATACGGCAATTGGTATGTCCTCAGCTGCCAAAACCTAGAGCAAACCCATTCCAGGTGGAGAAGGACCAGAAAATCGTTATCATTTTGTGACCTGTGTCAAGTGTGTTGGAATCCTGCCACAATCTCCTCATTTCCCCATGAGTCTCTCCTATTCTGGATGCATTTTTGAACTGTTAGAGCAGTATTTCATTGCTGACTGTTTGTGCTTTAGGGATATTTTAAATCATTCTTCTCTGTCTCCACTTTCTATGAATTATAGGACAGATACCCCAGACCAGGTATGCACTGTGAAAAAGGTCCATAATGTGTAGGAGATTAGAAAAAAAAAGAAAAGACTCCTAAGATCTTTTCTATTTCTAAGATGATACTGAGATTAGAAAGGTTGTAGTTTTGTTTATTTGGGGTTTTTTTGTTTTGTTTTAAATAAATTCACAGATCAATAAATGGCAGGTGTGTAATTTGGTATAGTTTTTCTGAAGGGAAACTTTACCTTTGAAAGCATAAAATGTTTGTATGTTATTGCCCCATGACTCTATTTCTAGAAATTCATCCTCAGGAAGTAATTAAGGATGTACAACAAGATTTATCTACCGGGTATTTATGCCGTTGTTTATACTGGTACTAGTAGAAAATTCAAAACAAACGAAACCAAACTCAAATGTCTTAACAAGAGAGAAATGGTGAAATATTTTGAAGAACTATAAATGGAGTATTAGTCAAACATTCAACTGTTGTTGTAGTGGATAGGTGAATATTGTCAGGAATGATGGTTATAATACAATTTTAATTGAAAAAATCAGATGCAGGGATGAGCGAATAGTGAAAATTAAAATCTGGAATGGACAGATCTCAGTTTAGAGTCAGACATTTCAACGTGCCAGCCGTGACCGTGACCTCCAATAATTGGGTTGATGTTATTTATCTCATGGTGTTGTACTTTAAATGAAATAGTATTTATGAAGAACTATGCCTAGGGCATAGTAAAATCTCCATATATTTTTCTTTGGCAATCGTTAAATGTTTAAAAATGAGTTTAAAGTATAATACATTTTTTATTACATCTATATGTATTTAGACTCCTGTCTAGAGTAATATGCACTCCAGTATTAAGAGGGATAAACTGTGTTTATCCCTCTTAATACCGGGATTATGGGTTTCTTTGTAAAAATGTATGTAGTAATCAGAAGCAGTGGAATTAGTTTTCTCTTAATTAAAACAAACAATTTCTAACTATGGACACAGGAAATCTCTACACTAGGATGCTTTCTGCTCTAGTCGATTCATGTAATCAACAAGACTTGCTGACTCTTGGTATCGCCCATGCTATAAAAAGAATAAATGACAGGGCATGGAGTTTGTCACCTTCCATATAAACTTAGATTTGTTTTGTAGCAACTAGGAGTCAAGTCCCAGCTCAGCAAAATATGCTGACTGGTTGCTGCCCCTGCCTTATCTTGAGAGCCAATAAAAAAAAAGCAGAGGAGAGAGAAGGGATCAGAAACTATATTTGTAACTTTTGATTAGTGAATCGGAGAAGAAAACCTGGCACTGAAGGGCCATGAGAGTCTGTGACCTTCACATCTACAGTAGTGGGCCCTCTGGGTCGGAGGTGGAGCTTTCGTAAAACTTGCCTGTGTGTATTACAAATGTTACAGAAATATAGAGGCAAACATGATTTACTGGTGTCTTCAGTTTAACTCGTTTAGAGGTAGTCTGACTGCCTCTCCCCCACTGACTGACGGGAGTTGATGGGTAGAGAGTCTACACAGCTCCTCTGCCGTTATGACTCTAAGGCACGTTCCACACTGTCTCCCAGAGGCCCTCAGCATCACTGTGCCCCAATTATCCGCAACGCTAACTAGCTCAAAAGTGAAGCCTTTATTGGCTTCCTTGTTTCACTTTCCTAGACCTCTAATAGAACTTTCCAAAGAAACTGAACTCTCACCTTTATCTCAAGGGTCTGCTTCTGGGGTAACCTAAGTCATCTCTCTGGCCCCTACTGATCCCTAGAGGAGAAGGTCAAATGACTGACTTGATGAATTTGAAGAAAGAAACTGAGCATTATCCATTACATTCCCCCCTTTTGGTAATGGTAAATCCATAGGCCATGCGTGTTTGGACTGCCCTCTGCCTTGTGTTTGAGGACTTGCCCTCAAGGAAAGGTCTTTAATTAGCATCTGGATGGATAAGTGAATTTAATTCAAGAGTGATATATTAGGACACCCTCCAGGTCCTTATAGATCTAAAATCATGTTCTCCAATCAGCTTTGTTAGCAATACAGTAGACATTTTGATTCTATGTTTGATTCTAGAATAGGTCCCCATGATTCATAAAAGCCAAAAGGTGGAAACAACCCAAATATACATCAAGTGACAAATAGAAACATATGTTATATCCATACTGTGGAATATCATTTGGCCATTAAAAGAAATAAAGTACTTGTACATGCTACAGCATGGATGGGCCTTGAAAACATGATGGTAAGTGAGAGAATCCAGTCACAGAAGACTACATATTGTATAATCATATATGAAATGGCCAGGAGAGCTATAGGGACATAAAACAGATTAGTGGTCGCTTAGGGTTGGGGTGGAGGATGGGGAAGGAAAGTGATAGCTAAAAAGTATGGGGTTGGACTTCCCTGGTGGCGCAGTGGTTGAGAGTCCGCCTGCTGATGCAGGGGACACGGGTTCGTGCCCCGGTCCGGGAAGATCCCACATGCCACGGAGCGGCTGGGCCAGTGAGCCATGGCCGCTGAGCCCGCGCGTCCCGAGCCTGTGCTCCTCAACGGGAGAGGCCACAGCAGTGAGAGGCCCGTGTACCGCAAAAAAAAAAAAAAAAGTATGGGGTTTCTTTTTGAGGTCATGAAAATGTTCTAAAATTGACTCTAGTGGTGGTTACCCATATCTGTTAATGTACTAAGAAAACCATTGAACAGTACACTTTAAACGGGTGAATTATATGGTATGTGAGTTACGTCTCAAAAAACCTGTCAAAGTTAGGTCCACCTGGTGATGCTAAATGTTAAGATTAGGGGAAGCTGGGTAAAAGGTCTATGAGAATGCTCTGGCTTAAACTTGCAACTCTTCTGTAAATATGAAATGATTGCAGAATAGTTTTTTTATCCAAACGGGGAGGTTCAAAACCTTTCTGACTCAGTTTCCCTGCTTATAAGGGACAACATTTTCTAATAATCCTCTCATGTGGCGGTTTTAAGAATTAATTGAGATAGTGTATATGACATCAAGAGATAGTGTATATGACATCAATGTATTTGGCAAACAGCCTCTCTCTCTCTAACTAAAATAATAGGGACCTAGGTGCATAGGACAGAATCATCACGGTGTCTCAGGTATCCCATTTGTTCCTAAGATCTCCGTTATCTTCCATGCCCCCCTGTTACTTTTCTGCTATAAGATTCGGCCTGACAAGGTGTGGTCAGAGTTCCAGCAGTGAGGTTAATCATTTTATGACTACAGTTTAATAGACTGCAATGAGCCAGCTCAGTTTGCAATGCCTTTGGGGGGAAAAAAGCAGGGTGACCTTAACAATAGATGCCCAAGTGGCCCTCCTTAGCAATTAGTTGTAGCTATCTTTGTTATTAGCTGGATTTTATGCAAATGGGATCATTCCAGCAGACCCACATGTGAGGCTCTAGTGGCTGATGCAGGCTTTCTTTTCTCCTTCTGTAGCTCTCATGGAAGCCAGCGCAATATATCTGCTAGTTGGTCTGGAGTCGGTGCTGTATCTAATTATGGGGTTGGTTTCCTTCTTTCTTTTTTTTTTTTTTTGTGGTACGTGGGCCTCTCACTGTCGTGGCCTCTCCCGTTGCGGAGCACAGGC